AGACAAGAATCTGTTGGAAAACGTTCAAAGAAAAGCCACTCGAATTTCTTTGGGACCGAGAAGACCGTCTTATGCAGAAAGACTTAGTATGGCTAATCTAACTACTTTTGAACTTCGCCGACAACGTGGAGACTTAATTACAACATTCAAAATACTAAAATTCAATTTTGGAAACCTCGATGAAATATTTATCATAAACCAAGATGAACGCCTCAGAGGTCATCAATATAAACTAAAGAAAGAAAATTTTTCTATAAGACAAAGACAGAACTTTCTTCCAAATAGAGTTTTTGAGTGCTGGAATAACCTCAACGATAACATTGTCTCCGCTTCTTCTACCAACTCGTTCAAAAACAGACTCGACAGTTTTATATTATAGTTAAAATATTGTTTTTCCTTTAAACCAAAAATTGTAATTTTATTTCTTTTAGTTGTAATTTTTGTTATTTACTAGTAGGTGATAAATGAAATTTCTTTGTTTTTGGGCATAATAGGGACTTAGTTCCTCTGCCCTCGCTTATATTATAATAATAATAATAATAATAATAATAATAATATTTTGTTGGATGATGTTCTCATTTTTTTTTAAATGTGAGATAGCTTATTTTTGTTCATTTTAGCTTTCTGTTTTTTCAGTTTGGTTTTCCAGTTGTTTTTTCCTTGTTTATATAAGACAAATTGCCCATTTTAACTAAATACACTTGATCTTTCTGTACTTAGACCTCTGACAGTCTATGCACTAAGGTTTTGCTTCTTGCATTCTAATTAATATGTTCATCTATTATATTTTTGGAAGGCTCAGATTATAAAGCAGAAATCTGAATTGTGTTTCGAAACTATTTTACGATTTCTGTAATTAGATGTCGCTATTGCGTCCGTATTGAAGCCATGTTATTGTTGCTTCTTAAAAGGTAGAAAATATTGATTTTTCACGTTGAGAACCCCTATGAATAGCTCTTCTGATGAGACCTATTAGGTCGAAATACGTATCAAGAGATACATAGGATTTGTTTGCGTGAAATCAAATATTTGCTGCCTTTTCTCATTTTATTCGGATTTACTCTGTGTGAGTACTAGAAGCACAATTCGCTAAGGATTTCTGCTTAGTTGTAAAAGACATGTCGTGGAATGCAAATTTTAGATTCCCCATGTATCTTTTAATATCCTTTAGCAACATCTGTTTGCCTTGCAATTTTTAGAAGGCTCAGATTATAAAGCAGAAATCCGAATTGTGTTTCGAAACTATTTTACGATTTCTATTATATTTTTCTTTTTAATACTGTTACTAATCCCTTTCAATCTTATGGCTTTACCTTAGCTTCTTTTTCTATATAGCATTCTTTCTAGTTTTTCTTCTACAAATTAATTTTTGATGTTTTCACTTATGATTTTGAAGATTCTGGTCTAGTATCTGCATTAAGTGTTATGGTAGGACCTACAGCTATCTTACCTATTCAACCAAAAGCTAAGTAAGTACTTATTATGACTAGCTTTGTTATTTGCTCAGATGACAAGGTTTTATCTCAATCGCAATTTTCTTCCTCTGCAAATTAGTCATCATCTTCAGCTTTTACGTTATGTGCAAGATTCAAATTAAAACTAATAAGGATGATTAACAGGAATACTGTAATCAAGCAATGATAGCAGATCTTTGTATTTAGCTTCTTTTTTCCTGGATTTTTCTTCCATCAAAAAGTGGATTTAGTACAGCTAATTCCTTCAGGTTTCAGGTTTGTTCATATTATAATGAGTCCACTGTATTTGTAGCCATTTCACTTTATCATAATTTTCCGCAATTTTACAATGAGTAGGAGCCATTTCTACACCTTTAGTGGAAAAAAATGGCATTCATATACAATGCTAGCTCCTTTGCCATCCAAAAATCCCCCATTCGAGGGAGCTTAATTGTAGCTAGGGCAGTATCATCATCCTAGCCCTCTGGGGCAAGAAGAAGTGAGTGTGCAAGAGAGTCCTTATGGCCTCCTCATCAGTGGAAGATAAACTTCCACTGGGAAGATGCCTCTGATCCACCCCCAGAGTTGGATCTTTGGACAGGGCATGCTTTGGACAGGAGCTTAGCTGTAGCAGACATGTGTTCCATGCTGTGACAGTAGGCTCTCCAAGAGGTGCTCTTAATCAGGGACTTGTATTCCTTCTGAGCCTTCTTAAAGGAGTCCCAGTGGGCAGGGAGACAGTCCTCTTGACCTTGTTAAAGAGACTCCAAGTCGGCCTGTGTTGTGTAGCTGAGGTGTCCACCAGGAATAGTAGAATTAGCAGTCCTGTGATCTATAAGAGGGCAGCAAGCTTTATATACCAGGTCAGGGCTCCAGAGAAGTGATCCAAAGCTCTGCCAATCCAAAACCAGTTTCAGTAACACTCTAGGGTCTAGAGCATAAAGTGTAGGCAAATGTAGGTACATAGCCCCAGAATTTCTAAGCTGCACAAGAGGTACTGCAGACAAAAACTTATTGATGTGATAAAGCATAACTCCAAATAAAGAATATCTATTGATCTAATCTACTGATAATATATTCAGCAGTTATGGAAGTGATAAAAAGTATGCATTTAATTAATTGAGTGACATTCATAGTCAGAAATCATTCTAAATAACCTTAACACAAAAAAGTCTATGTGTTTTAAACTTCGCAATATATATTATAGGCTGTTTCTGCTAAAAAGTGAAATTCTGAAAATTTGTGGGTTGGACCACTATTGCGCACAATGTCTCATATATCTTATTAATTATGTCTGTATCGTTTAGACCTATTTTTATATAAACAATTGTTTGCTCTATTTACACTCTCATCCAGTGTTGATGCTTGAAGTTTTTTTCTTAACGTTATGCTTTCTTTGTCCACTTGACCAGCTTGTTCATTGTATATGATATTTGAGAGTGGACCTGGACAAAAATTAGTTTTTTAGTTTTTTTTTTATATCAGGGAGCAACATTTTTATTTGAAGCTACACAAGGATGGAGATTGGCCGTACATGAAGCAACCATAATTGATAATATATGTCAGATGTATGAGGGTACTACTTCTACTACTACTATTGTTCTGAAGCTATTTTCTTGTGGCATTGTAAATTAATTACTATTAAACTGGGAATAAGCCACAATTAAAGATAAAAATATGTTTATTGACGTTTCAATTTCCACTTCGGAAATCGTTCTCAAAATACAAACATTAGTAAATTAAACAAATTTTTGTATTTTTATCTTTAATTGTGGCTTATTCCCAGTTTAATAGTAATTAATTCTACTACTACTGTTACTACCCTCTACTTTCTATCATGATCTCATAATACATTTTAAGAAGTTTAATCTCTTATTTTGAGGAATTCTATTTGGTTAATGAAAAAAAAAAAAAAAAATTGTCATTCAGTTTTAAGATAGTACTGTTAGGACTAGTGAAAATAACTACTTTTGATTTATGTGAAGATAATTAAAAAAAAAGAGCTACTTATGATCTGGAGGGCAGATGCATCTTCATCTGCTGAGTCCAATTTCGTTAAATGGGGAATGTATTATAGTGTATTCATTTAGTCTCAATGGTAATGTTTTTGGTTTATCATAAGGTATTGTTTAAACATCCTGCCATTTCCGCGGCTGATATTGTTTATTCTTGCACCTCTGCCTAAACATCACCTAAAACCCATATTTCCATATTTTCCTAGATAATTAGGTATTTTTGATATTTTCATACATTTTGTTTTATTGGGATTATTTTTTAAAGTTTGAGAACAGGTGAAATCATCATGTTAAGAGATTTGTCCTTATTAAATTGGTGAGAACAAAGTACTATTGGATTTAGTTTTTTAAAGTTTGAGAACAGGAAATAATTACAATAGTGTAGTTTTGATTGAGAAACAGCAACCTTTTGGACGGGTGCATTATCTTGACTACACATTGACTACGCACCTTGGACTTCTTCAGTGTATCTTCACTGTTTTTTCATGACTGCTTTGACTGTTTTTCATTTTGGGGGTGTTGTTCCATGAACAGTCATATACTAGCAAAAAATTTTTTGATCATTTTCCCAATTATATCCATTTTAATTTGTCAATTAGCAAATGTGACACTCATCACATGGATATCTTTTTTATGTGCAGTGGGGTGTTATTTATAGGCTCAGTTGGCACATTTAAAGCCTCTTATCTCAAACACGCTTAAAACTCTGAACAAATGTAGCTTTCCAAAATTTCACCAGCAAATGACAGTGCTAACTCAATAAAAATCATTCAGTTTAGCTTTGAGATAGCTACTGAGGATATCAGAAGAAAATACTGTACAGTTACCAGTTTCAAAAGTAGAAACATGGGAAAATATACTCAGCAAAATTATTCAAAAATCATTATGTAGTATATCTTTTTCTTGAGACACAATACCCCTGTATAGTAAGTAGGAACAACAAAAGACAAAAGCAAATAGTGATTTTCTTGATTTATAAATATATGCATGAAACCCACATGTACCAAGGTATTCGGATATAATTTACAAGACAAAATTAAAATATTTATTAAGTTATATAAATTTTAAATGCATTCTTTAGAATGTTTTTTTCTTTAGAATGTTTTCTTTAGAATGTTTTCTTTAGAATGTTTTTCTTTAGAAATATTGTTTATCATAAAAAGTGTGGCTTTTACTTTCAAACTTCCATTCTTTGAGAAATAACAGGACACGACATTTGCCATATAAACTTGAAAAATTTCTATTCTAAAGCCATACCTTACTTTAAACTATCTGAAATGAACATGATTAAAAGAGCTAGACTATTGAGCAAAGTATCAAGCACAATAAAGATGCAATACATACATAGTTCTAACACTTTATCTCAATGTTTCTGTTGAATAATCTCCATAAGTGGAAAAATAATTAAATGTTAATACAATAAACACTTTATGTAACCATAACAAAGTTATTGTAAAACATCTGTGTTAAATCTTAGAAATATAACACATGATTTCTAACCATATAAACTTATTTCAAAAGTTGTACTTACCACTTACTATCTGTACTGAAGAAACCCAGAATCCCCTATAGAGACCACTAAATCCTTCATATTTATATATTTTTCCATATGCATCGAACATGCCTTAAACAAAAATATTCTTTATATAAAAATCCTTCAATATGTAGGAAATTTTAATGAGTTAATTTTATCATAGCAAGAGATTCAAGGTTTAGGGATAATGTCGCTTTAAATTAAGATTCTCAGTTAATTCAAAACGTATTTTGACTAAATTTGTTAATATAAATAGAGGAATTACGTAAATATTTACCTGTATATAAGTCATTGTGCTTTTGAATTTGTAATCTAGTCTTAATTAATGTCAGTGGATAAAGTGCACATCGGACACTAAATGAACTTAACATGGACAGAGGAAAAAACTTGGTTTTGTCCATCATATCCCATTCTATGGTTCTAATCATTTTATTATTGTCACTAGCATCCTCGGATCCTAAGTAAAATTCCATTTTGCTATATCATAAATTATATATTACCGCAATATTAAAACATCTGTATTAAGTGACATGATTTGTTGCATCTTTTTCTGTTGATGCATGATGTTTTAGATGAGAGACATCGTTTTTTCTTAAGAAAACCACCTGCAACTTCGACTTTGGCTTTTAAATGTTGAGAGTTCGTTCTTCATTATCATCTTATTGTCACATGGCTACTGACAGTAGTGACACTTGACTTATCGATTTTGACATTTGTCTATGATTCAATCAAATTCTGTCTATGATGCCGACACCGTGGTTTTGAGAAAAACAATTTATCTAACAATTAGATATTCTATTTATCTAATCTTTAATTATTAAACATTTATTGAGTCTTATTTTGTTTAAAAGAAAAATCATGTTTTTTACTGAAAATATACGAGTAGTTATCTTTTAAATTACGTGGTTCTAGTGAATTTTCGAGTAATTTTTTTTTACATCGGGGGACAAAAAGCAAGTTAACAGTATAACTTGCTTTTTGTCCCCCGATGTATAAAAAATTATTCTACGTGGGATGAAGATTTTCATTGTCGAATTTTGGAAGTAATGTAAAGTCCCACGAGAAACTTCGAAAATATAAAACGCATTTTTTACACTTTTCACATGTCAGCGATCTGTTAAGGAATTTGGTTAAGCTGAAGAGTAGCACAAAGTTAACTCTTTTCTTCACTCTGTCTATTCCTTTAACCGTAACATTTTTTCTGGGGCAGACTTTACAGCCGAAAAATATAAAAAGTGTAATATGATATCGCTAAATGTTTCTGTTTCTCTGAAAGAATCCACTCGTGGACGAAAAGGTTTTAAATCACAAATACTTACGTCCTCTTCCTAAAAAACTGAATTACAAGAGTCTGCCGATAAAACTCCAAGCAAAAGACTTGATAGAGTAAAAAGAAAAGACATATCGTCACCTCAGAGCAACAGTAAGCCATGTGCAAAATCTTTGTTTGCGAGAAAATCGATTTTAAAATTTGTGAGTATTTTAAATCTGTAATAAAATCTCTAGTAATTCTTCAGTTGAAATAGTTTTTACGATAAGAGTACAAAAGTATCAAGACAAATAAAAGTGTTTAGGTATAAAAAGATACAAGTTTAAGTTTTAAGAAAAAATAGAACTTGTCCTACTGTTGCACTAAACTCATTGAAAAAAAAAGATATCTAGTATTTGTCATAGTGCTACCCTATAATTTATTATTGGTTTCGATGTTACCCTTTATATAAAAATATAATAAAAACAAAAGAATAAAGAAAAGCAACTACTAGTAGGTATCTATAATTAAATTTTATTCACTCTCAGAATCATTATTTTCTGAAGATGTTTCACAAATGGCCACGTTCTCCTCCAAGCACATCTCCTTATACATCCTATACATCAAACTGATATTTAGTGATCCTTCTAGATACTCTTTTTTTGTAGTCGATCTGCAATAGTGGGATTCTGAGTTTACGCCCTGAGTTAAAGCGTCGCTTGTTTTATTAGCCCCATTTGAATGTGTCCCCCTTTCTTCTTTAGTTAGAAAACCATATTGTTATTTGTTTTAGAACCGTATCTATGGCACAATTCGATATATTTAATGTTGTTTTAAAAAACAGCTTGCGTACGCGGATTTTCTGATCTCTGATATTAAGAAAATAAATACCTGTAAATGTTTTTTTTTTCTTCTACGTTTTATCATCTTTTGGCAGTATTTTTTCGATGTTTTGGACCAAGTATTCTCTCTGAAGAGTTTTGTTGGCTAGTTCGTAATATTTATTGAAAATTTCTTTTCGGTAATCATAGGATATTTTTTGAGAACATTTAATGAACAGTTTTCTCCACAACCGGACAGAATGGATTTTGCTACATGCTTTTTTCCTAATCTAGAGATATATTCTTGACCGGAGTTAATTTTAAAGTTTTTCTCATCTCGTTTCCATTTACTCTCGTCTCTTTTCCTGCTTTTCGAAGATTTATTCTTTGGAGTATTTTCATTCTCTTTACCCGTTACATTTTGACTTAATTCGTTACCATCTGGTTACGTCATTAATTTTTGTAATAATATCTTCTTCCTCATCAGGTACATAATCTGGGTCTATTAAATCATCATCTTGGCAAAATTCGCTTGCACTCATATCATTTTCAGAATTGCGCTTGTTAAATTATTGGTATTCTTGAGTTCAGAAATAAATTGTTTTGTTATTCAGTTTAAAAATGCCATGAATAACAAAAATACCAGGTACAAGCTTCAAAGCAACAGCTTCAAAGATACGAATAGCAATGATGATTGCCAAACTCCTTAGCGGAAAGGGTACTTGAAGAAGAAGAAGACCAAATAAAGCATTGGTCACCACATTTTTAAAAGGATTAACAAATCAAATTTGCTCTGAACTAAACAATAATTGTTATTGTAAAGGTGTATGTCTGTTTTGTATTGCTTTTATCAATTTTAGGGTTCCTATTATTTAGTTCACTTACCATTACTGCTATTATTGTTCTCATACTTCTCAAGTTTGTTCCTTGATGACTTCATTTTTCTTAAAAATTCAAAATACATAAAACGATTCACAAGTTTCACAACACATCGATTAATTATCTTCCACTGATCTTAGTAGACTAACAAGAAAAGACCTGTTGATTGTTATCGTTAGTTCCGAGCGGCGAACCAAACTTCTGGAGCAACAGTAAGTTATATATTTTTACCTAGTGTTGCGCTGATTAAAAATATAGGTACTTTAAAATGTGTGTAACATAAGGTTATGTATTTTATCGCGTTAGTGTGAATATTTACATCATACCTTAGTGTTACACTCAATAAGGGCACTCTTTTTTACCCATTTTATGTTGATAACCGAAAATCACTATTTTTTTCATGTCCTAGTGTTGCTCTGAGGCAACGATATGGAAATTCAGTAAATGAGGGTTCAATATTGCCGAAAAAAAAAAGAAAAATTCAGAAGAAATCAAAAACATCCGAAACCAGCAATGAGGGCAGTTCCGTAGCATCTGAACAATTTTTCCCAGCTAACGATAATGTTGACCTTGAGAAAGTTGGGCATGACACAATGGACGAACAAGGTGTAGAGTGCATATTTTGTGAGGGGTGATTTCAAGCAGACAGAAAGGAAGAGCTTTGGATTCAATGCCTTATGTGTAATTTGTGGGCACATGAACTATGTTCGGGAGGTGAGAAAGATACGTATGCAATTTTTGCAAATGATTTCAAGTTATTTCTGTTTTACTAAGTTACTAAACTTTTTTTTGGTTAAATAAAGCATTTGTGTTATAAATAGACAGAAATCCAAAGTGATGATCATCGATAAAATCAGAAATAACCAGGTAGAAATAAGAATCATAGCAGAAGTGGTTAGGCAATTTAATTACTTAGGCTCCGTTACTACTAACAGTGGAGGATGCGAAGACGAGATCCGTACACGCATCATAATGGCCAGATCAGCAACAGCCAAACTCACAAAAATTTGGAAGAACACTGACATCACAAAAAACACAAAATTACGCCTTGTTCGCTCATTGATATTTCCTATCGCCATCTTTGCTTCAGAAAATTGGACAATAAAAAAAGTCGATAATGACATTTGAAATGTGGGTCTACCGTAGAATGTAACGCATACCATGGACCGCCTATCGCACAAATAACTCAATTCTAACAGAACTTAACATAAAAACTAGACTCACCACAACTATCAACCAAAATATACTGAGATATTTTAGACATATAACTAGAAGAAGAGAAGACATAGAGCGAATGATATTTAAAGGTAACGTAGCGGGTAAGAGATCCAGAGGAAGATCTCCAGTACGATGGTCGGACCAAATTAAGGAGATACCAAGCACGTGGTGTTCGTGTGTATTAAGGTATAAAAAAAGCGCTTATTAAAAGCTTAAAATTTTTATTTTAAAGAAGATCTTTTCGGAATTGTATCATTCCATCATCAGTTTAATAAAAAGTTGTTGGAAAAAACATTGTATGGCCACATAAAAACATTCGATGGACATATGGATTTAAAAAGTAATCTTCATGTTATTTATTAAGGTAAATGCAATAGACTCTTAAATTGTGTATTAATAAAAAATGAAAATGGGGGCATCTTATATGACCCCCTGCAGCTGGTGAGGTTTTATCGACTTACATTACCTCTGATCTGTGTTGGAGTCTAGGGCTAACTCAGTTAGCCCGTCGAATGTTTTTTATGTGGCCATACAATGTTTTTTTCAACAACTTTTCATTAAACTGATGATGGAATGATACAATTCCGAAAAGATCTTCTTTAAAATAAAAATTTTAAGCTTTTAATAAGCGCTTTTTTTTATACCTTGATACACACGAACACCACGTGCTTTGTATTCAACAGGTATACTAGCCACAGGATATCTCCACTTCTTGGTTTGTTCCAGTTTCACTTTTCAAAAATTAAAAAAAAGGAGATACCACTCATTTCCTTTATTTGGTCCGACCATTCTCCGAAGCAAAACAACACGCACAGGAGAGAGATAATTGGACAGAAATAGTCAAACAAATTACATAACGCCACTAGATATCGTAAAACATATTAAGATAAGACGTCTGAGGTGGATAGAGCATATAATGCAAATGGAACAAAATGACCCAGCTAGAAAAACGCTCCTTGATAGACCCATTGGTTAGATAAGAAGAGGAATACCCAGAATAAGGTTTCTTGATAACATCGATAAAGACATACGAAATATGGGAATACGTGCTTGGTGGAAGAAGGCGATGGATAGGGATAACGTTGATTCCTCAGGCTGTTGGTGATGTTTTCCGTGATCCGTTCTGCAACTGTTGCGTCTCTCATCTTTTATATATTCCATTACTGTCTAGCCATTTTATTTTCTTTGCTGACGCTTAATGTGATCAATCTGGCTCGTTGTTCTTTCACCAGGTGAGGTCGGGTACCTTCTGTGTATTTTTGTGTTCAAAATAGGTGCTAACGACTGTCATGTTTAATGCTGCTGTTAAGTTTTTCAGTCGTAACCCATTATCGATTCAAACGTTGTGTAGGGTTTACCTTCCTATGACATAGATAAAAATTCACTTTCGTTCTATTCTTTCATTCATGTCACCTAACACTATCTTGTGTAGGTAATTTCTGGAATATCTTCTGTAGGCTTTCTTCTAGTTTGTTATCAGTCAAGGCATATGCATTGATCAAACTGTACTTAAAGAATTT